TATACATTAGTTTCCTTGTTATATGTTATATCAGTTTTCCTCAAACTGTCAGGACAATACCTTGTAATCTAGCCCAAGTCTGATTCTTTTGAACTTAGACAAAAAAACTACTTTTCAATAGTTATTTATGTCTTTTGCTTGTACATTATTACTTAGGATCCTTATTACTGCAAACACTATCTCATGTTACAAAAACTCTCTCTCAAGCTTCTCAATTTCATACTCATCCTCCGAGAAGGTTCAATCATAAGAGTACAAAATATAAAATTAACTTAATAAGGATATATGTGTCAAAACACCAGTTATCTAGATGTTTATAATATATAAAAACAAACAACTCAATCATTTTAATCAAACAAAGAAAAAAAAAACAAACATATTTAGACATATTCAACAATCATATACATTCAGCTCTAAATGAAAGAACAAACGCCATCTTAGTTTACTTCAATCAAAATGGAAATTTGAACAATATCTTCAAAGTTAAGTTCATCACACTATCTAAGTTTTTTAAATTTTTTTTGACCATTAATTTAAATTTTTTTTGACAAATGGTCATCACCAATAACAATAGTAATATTTGATTGAGATTTTCATTTCATTTTAAATATTAATAACAAATTAAGTTTAGTTTAAATTTTTTTCAATATCAAACTTAGATTTCTTTTAAGTTATATGAACATGTAGAACATATAAATGATATAGTTGACACCAAAATGAAATCATACATAAAATTATAAAAGAAGAAGGAATATAGGAGAAATAGTTAACAATTACCTTGAGCTATATTTTCCATGTACGAGAGTTTGAAATTCCAATGTTTTGGGGATTGGTTCATCATTCTCTTCGTCATAATCAAAGATGAACATCTTCTGGATTTGGGTTCTTCCATCACTGTTCCTGGCTTATGAAATTCATCTTTTGCAGCTCCAGTACTTCGAAAATTAAACAACCTTGGAACTTCACTTTTGATAACAAATACAACTTCTTGGAATGTTGAAAAATTCTTGTACAAAGAAAATTATTAGTTTTAACATCATATGTTTTTTCATTAAATAAAAAAGAAAGAAATTGGAATCATAGGTAATGAGAGTTGAGTTTACAAAAAGACCTCGTGATAGCCAAGGCCGGCCCAAGGGGTAGGCAGGTGAGGCACCTGTCTAAGGCCCCCAAAAAAAAAGCCTCAAAAAGGCGTCTAAAATTATTTTAAGATTTTTTAAAATAGATTTACAGAAATACCATTAGGCCTAAAAAAGTTTATAATTTTTTATCCAAACTAGTCTAAAGGGCCCCAAAAAAGCTGAAAAGGCCCAAATTCATTATAATTTTTTTACATAAATGAGTTGATAAATGTACAAAAAAACCATGTTTCATATTTTCTATTCACACCCCTAAATTAACTAAAATAGTTATTTAAATGTCTAAAATTCCAAAACACCTATTCAATCCCTAAAATGATGAAAATATTGCATCTCCACCCCTCTACACTGCCATAGTGCTGCTGTCGGCGTTAAAGTGATGATTCTGGTCAATTTTCTCACCAAAATCAACTGAATTCATCACTTAATCATTTCCCACCCAAATGCTTTCCTAGCCTTGATAACCCCCAATTTGGCCAATTTTTGTTGGTTTTCACAACCCATTTTCATTCTTCACTGCGTGTGACAGCCATTTCCGGCACATATCCGCTGTCATTGACCTTCCCCAACACCATCATCTTCATCCCCTCAGCCCCCTCTCCAAAACCCCTCACTTAACTGATTCCAGTAGCCTACCGATCATCGTCCACCTCTTGCCCTTATAAGAAAGATCAGGTAATTTGGCTATATTATCAATTGAAAAAGATTTGGTTTCTAAACTTGAATATAAAAATTTAATTAGTGATTTTGCATCTCAAAAGGCAAGAAAAATAAATTTGAAATAATTTTTTAATATATGCTTATATTATTAAAAGAGCCCCAAAGTAATTTTTGCCTAGGGTCACAAATATTCTTGAGACGGCCTTGGTGATAGCTCATGACTGTGCCAACTTATTGTAGGTATCACCATACCCTGCCAAAATAAGCAACATGTTCTTCCTCATTTCCTCTGAGTTTAAAGCTACAATACAATTGGGCTAATCAACCAAACAATTATGTACTTCTTTTAAAAATCCCAACAGGTGACCAATCAGAAAGCTACTCCTTGTTAGATACTTTGCCACAATACAAGCGTGCATGTTTCTTCAAACTAGGTTTAAGAAACAAGCATTATTTCTCTATCTGTTCACATGCTCATTAATGGTAATTAAGTACTGGAGATGGGTTACACGTCTTATTTTTCTTGAAATGAGTGCTAGACATGGCCTCCAAGTACGTATCTGCTACTAAGCCGAACAAAGTGTTCTAAAACTAGAGTACGAAATAGTAACAAAGATTTCAAATAATTCAACATCACTTTGAGCTACCTATGAACAGACAGAACCAGAGTGGTAAAATCAAAGATGAAGATTTACAACTTTGGTCGAGATAAGATGATGAACCATCTGTAAGAATGCAATTTTTGAAACAATTAAAGAATATACACAGTAAGAACCAGTTGCAAGTAGATGTGGCAGTGGGCTATGCCATGCCTAAAAATTCAAGGCCCATCGTTTCGTGGGCCATGCCAAGACGCACCGTTTCATATCCTATCGTGTTATGCTGACCCATAAAATTTAAAGGGCCACGACACGGCTCATTAATATCATGCCATGCTTTGGGCCGTGCCATGGGCCGATCCACATGCTTTGTAAAAATATTTAATTTTAATATTTATAAATAATGGTAATTTTGATTTATTATTAATAATTATTTTAAAAATATTTTATATGTTATATTTAGTGACATTTTGTATTTATATTATTTAAAAATATATAATCACTATAAAATATAATAAAATAATGAAACATTGAAATATTAATTGAATTTCAATACTTTTTATTACTTATAAGTTATAATTATAAATTATAAATATAAACTTAGAAATTAGGATTAAGAATTATTAAGATTAAGAATTATTATACATCTTTATTTTCATTAATTTCTAAATTCTTAAAATCTTATATTATATATTCAGCAACACGATTTTGAAACTTAAAATCTACCGCCACCTAATCTTTCACACATAGAGGTGAAACAAATGGGCCGAGTTAGGCGGGTCAACCCTAACGTGGCCCGCAATGAAGAGGGTTCAACCCGGACCGCCCATATGGTAGGCCGAGTTGAACCCAACCCGCCAGCAAACCCCAAGCGGGCCGAGTTGCTATATGGGTTGGTGGGTTGCTTTTTTTTTTTTGCAATAGTCAACCCATCGGGTTGGGCCGGGTTGGCCCAAAAAAATTAAAAAAATTAAAAAATTAATTATTTTTTTTCAAGTTTCTCCCATTTTTTTAGTTCTTTTAATTAAACTATTATGATTGAACTCTTACAAATAATTTTACACAATAATATTAAACTATACTTATAAATCATAAATATTAAAATGTATAAAATTTCGTAATATTTGACACATTGTTATTATTATTTTTTATGGTACATAAAATATAAAAAAAATTAAATACTGAAATCTTATTCTCAAATTTTCATGTTTTGTATAAAATATAATTCATTCTTATGCTAAAGTTTCATCAATTGAATGAATAATTGTCAATGAGGGAGGTCCTAGTGAACTAATCCCAAATTAGTTGTTTTGTAAAATGTAATTTGTAAATTAATTATCAATTATTGCACTCTTTTTTCTTTATCAAGTTTTTCCCCCATTGGGTTTTTCTTGGTGAGGTTTTTAACAAAACAATAATTGTTGTAATTTCTTATTTTATTTTTTGATAAATGAATAAGTCTAATTTTTCTTATATTACAATTTTATTATATTAAAATTGAATTAATATTGGAAATATTAACAAAAAAAAAAAAATTAATTGAATTGAATTATTGATATTTAAAAAGTTAATTAAAAACAATTACATTTATAATTGATTCATTTATAAATTGTTAATTATTTTATTTGAAAAGTTAAATAAAAAAACAAAAATAAAAAAATCGGGCTAACTCGGCGGGTTAGGGTTGGCAGGCCGGGTTGGGCTAGCCATTTCCCCCAAAATGGCGGGCCTAACCCGACCTGCCTTTGTTGGCGGGCAGGTTAGGCCCGACCCGCCAAAGTTCGTAACCTGTCGTTGGCCGGGCCGGGTCGAGCCAAGCGGGTTACTTTTTCACCTTTATTCACACACATAATGGCTTCAACAGCACATTTAAAAAATAACTGTTAATTTTATTTTTTTTTTGTCGTGCCGGCCCAGCCCAGGGGTTTTTTTAAGACCCACGGCACGACTTGCATATTTTCATGCCAAGCCATGTCTTGTCGTCCATGCTTTTTTCGTACCGAGCCGTGTCATGCCATGGGCTAGCACAACCCATCGCCGGCTCTAGTTGCAAGTTGTGAATATTCACACCACTCAACTATTCACTTTAAACCCATTAAGAAACATTCTCTTCCCAATCTCTTTTAGTTGAGAGAGATTTATGAGGGGTTGAATTGGTTTTGTAATGCCCCTTTTTCATCAAACATGAGTTTATGGCTTCATCCAAAGTTTTTTATATGAATCAGACTACAGTAAAACTGATTCTTGGTGCATATTAACATTAGCTATTGAGGTTTAGGTGCTATTCTCATACACAAATGAAATATAAGATATAGCCTCCAGAGTTTTTAGGAAATTAGGCACAGGTACTAACCTTTCCTATGAGTTCTTTTAAATGACAAACCATAGTCTGAGAGATGTGACCTTTTGGAACATATGTAGCCAACTCTTTCTTAGCCTGAAAAATCATCTAATATTACCTAATCATGCTCAAAATATTCTTGCTTGTTATGATTCTATCCTAAGATTAAAACCATATTAAATTGAAAACTCTAGAAACTTTAGAAACTTTGATAATCTGAGTTTAGGGATATCTTTCCCCGCTGCTATATTTATCTAACAACATTTGGATGGGCACTCAAATGTGTGCAATTACTTCCTATTTGACAAATATTAAAGAAAAAAATAAGTGTAGAAGAAAAGATAAATCATATCCAAGTTTAGTGAGATCAGAGGTCCTGTACTCAGTTACCTATTCAGAACCACAATTTTTACATGTATATACTGTTGCTACCTACATAAGTGGCTTAACATCTGAACAAGGAAGTTACAATGTCTTATATCCTTAAGGGTTAGCCAATGAATGAAGCAATGACCTCCCTAATAGTAAATGCTCATCCCTTTGAAGACGCCCTTATATAAACTTCATTGCATAAATAACGGGTATGCATTAGCCCCACAAATATATCAAAGATTTTATATTGAACCGTCCAATATATTCTGGTATCAAGCATATAGGACATTGTTCATGGATAATGCATGACAACAATTAACACAAAAATCAGTTCAAGTACTGTATGCCAAAGTAATAACAAAATGTTTACCATTACACTATTGTTCATATAGAAATAAATCAAAGAGAACTAAGTTATACTCAAATTTTATTAAACTGACACCTAACCAACAGTAATTGATAAATATGTAATATCCAAACAACCAAATAACTTACTATCAAAATTAAGTCTTTGAAGGAGGCCTGAGTATACATATTACTAACACATGGGTACAAAAATAACTCTATAAAGTAGAAGATCTTTAATTTATTTGTGCTTCAATTGAAACATACTTAATTATCAGCACCAAACAATAAGTCACAAACCATTCAAAACAAATCATCATCAGATATCAACCAAGTTCGGTGCATATTATAATGAGGGTGCTCCTTAAGAATATTTTTGTAACTGCAAAAACTCCTACTTCGTATGTGAAAAGTAGTAACCATAGTTGTCAAAATCAATTTCAGCACTCAATCTGAAGATGGAAATTTTAACATCATTAAGATTTGGAAAGCAAACCTGTAAGATATCAAGTATGGGTCATCTGAGCGAAAAGAAGAACACAAGGCCTAGAAACATTCAACTTCTTAAGCAGTTGGTCCAAAATTACAACTTTACCATTAGCCTGATCAGGAAGTCAATTGAAACAACATTTAGTTTAGAAGGAAACAATGTAAGAAGGCAGTAAGGAATATACAAATTGCAGGCAAACAAAAGCAGCAAAGTTTTTTCCTTTTCCAGGCAAAAGGAACACGTAGAGTCCAGATATCCACATCCTTTGTCTACAAAACTTAGATGAGAAGGATATCTGACTAGGTGTTTACCTTCTTAAATGGTTCAGGCTCAATACTAAGAAAGAGGTAAGAATCCTTGTATTATTTCAACATAGAAAGAAGATATAAAGATTAAAAAATTAAGGCATTTGATATCCAAAAAGGAGAGAAACAAGGTGCATTAAGTGAGAACATGAAAAGAGATATGACATAAAATCAGTCAGCTAGCAAGAAGCACACCTATCAACACAATAAATCTTGATACGTGATTCCTACACTGTATGAGTGCCGCTCACAAAAACACAACAATGGAAATCATCTTACATCACTACCAAGGTAGTTTTCTTGAGAAACCCTTAGTACAAAAGCAAACACCACAGTCTATGTCATCACCAATGGAAGACAAAACCGAATAGCAAAGTTAAGTAAATCATGTATGTATAATAATCTCAAACTTTAATAAAGAAATCAACTTTAACCCTTCTATGAGGATGAAAGAAATTCCCAGAAATAAAACGTGTATAAATTTCAACCAATATAATCAAACAAGAGTAGACTGCCAATAAACTAAAAGCAAGAAAAGGGGAAAAAATCATTTCTATACTTAACTTATGGTCAACTTGAAGCATCCTATTTCGTAGTTCCCCATAGGTGTGCCCTCCTGTAAGTAGAAAGGGATATGCGGAAAAAAAGAAAATCAATACAAAGTGAAGAAATTTAGGCCAACAATGAAGAGAGCTTTGGGAATTAGAAACTTACATTCTAAAATATTGTTCTCCTATATCCCAGCACTCATTTCAATCATAGGTTTAAAAGGAGGATAATTCAAAACATAGAACCACCAAGAGTTCAATAATAAAGGAGTGAGCCACTTAAGCAAAATAATTTAGCAAATTAAAATTCTAATGACAAATAATTGGAATCTCTAAATCAAGTAAACTTCTCTAATGTCTCTAGCTACTTCAGTATCAACAGCCTGACTGGTGAGTCTATCTTGTTTAAACAACTGACCCATCTCCTACCCTGTGTTAGAAAAATTAAAAGGTGTGCTTTACTCAGAGGGAAGAATGCACCAGAAGATGCATGCTTCCAATAGTCCATACTTTTACCACAACCTGAGATGATAAAAGAAGCCTTTCTCACAAACATTAAATAAACAATTTAGTGTACAAGAAAAGAAAAATCACATATCAAGTCTAGTGAGATTAGAGATCCTCTACTCAACTACCTGCTGATGTGAAAAGAATGGATTAAAAGCAGTCACAAAATTACTAAAATAGCCCTGAAAATAAATGAGGTATCTTGAAAAAATATAGTGTCTACAATGAAGCAATGACATCCAGTGAGAATCTACCTATCTCTGAAAATTCAGCACTAAGACAAAATATTTAAAGGAAGACCATAGCTTGCTTCTACAAACATGAAGAAACTAGGCCATCTAATCAGTCATCAAGATAAATGAACACATATTCAATTCAAGTCAAACTTAACCAAGTGCGCAATGAATAACTAGAGTTCTGAGAATGACTCATTTGATAAACAACATTCCAGGTCATGAATAGATATATGACTCCAAGGGACTTCACGCCCAGGATTATATGATTGCACAAAAGCAAAAGCCATTGATTAAAGAGCATTACTTATACTACCCTTATCACGCCCAAGATTACATGATTACACAAGCACTGATCTTGTCCTTGCATAAATAAGGTAACAATATAATTCATAGATTTTGTTGCACAAAAAAACAAGCGAATGCCCAGCTTCCCGAGAAGAAGCAGAATAAAAAGGAACAAGTACATGGTAAGTTCAGTGATCTAATTTAGGAAAAAAGAGTAATTAAAAAGCATATGCATCAATCTACTAATTTGAGCCTCAGGGTACAGAAATATAAAATGAACAATGTAATAGAACCCTGATTTCAATATCCAATACATAATATTATTTTTGTGTAAATAAGTTCATTTCTAAGATGTCTTGTTTCCGATTGTAATTGCATCATGGGGTTATAGAGGTTTTTTTTGTTTTTTTTATTTTTAAAAAAAGGACAACTGGTGAAATAACCCATACCAGAATTACAATAGGAAAAATTAAAGACATTTTTCATCAATGTTGCACAACCTATTCATGAAGTAAGAAAATAACCTGATAAACAGGGTCCTGCTTCATTAAAAGTAGAAAGGAACTCTTCCAGTATCCAAAACATTGAAGGCACACAAAAATGAATCAAAGCCAAAAGTTGGTAAAGATTATTTTGAATAGGTGTGCCAGTCATCAACAATCTTCTCGGCATGACAAACCGCTCTCTGAGGACTTTATATAGAATCTGTTGTGGTTCAATCATTGAAGTCTTTTGAATGAGAAAATCATAGGAAAAAAAAAATGTTTGCATTAAAATATTACTTTTCACCTACTCAGATCTAGTTGTCTTTTACACAACTAGCAGAAATTTACTCAGATTTCACACTAGTAATCACCCTGTATAGCTGAGAAAAGAAAGGAGAAGAATAGAGAGAACAGATCAAGAATTTACAAACATGCAGTTGTCTTACTATCATTACATTCATTATATATTTGTCATATCTGATGATTGACAGTAGCATCTCCTACATTTGTTAAAAGTAAAAGTAATTTGCCAGCAAACAATTGCTACCGCAAAAATATATGTTACTGAATATATTAATCTCAAATGTACACTGGAAGGGTTTTCAAGTCTTTGGGATTCATCAATTATGGCATAGTACCAAGGTATTTGAGATTGAAAGTCCTGAACCATCAAGGCTATAGCACATGCGGTCAACAGTATATCAAAAGGTGATGATGATACCTGCAAAAGAATTTTAAGTTACAATAAACTATTAAAACAGACACAAGAGAATATTTACAAATGAAATCAGTAAACCATAATAAAGACTTGGGAACCAACAAAGAGAAAAACTTTCCATAATGCACTTAAGTTAACATATAATTCCAACCATAAAAAATTCAATTTGTAACACCACATACTAGGAACAAAAACTCACATCAAATGATGAGGACTTCTCTTTTACTTGTTCATACATTATTTTGTGTAAACTGCACCGGTGTACTTTCTCACCCACATATTTAAGAACTTTAAGTTTTGGTGTGAATTTGGCCACTCCAACAGCCAACCATCTATCACACTTGGCAGACAAAAAAGCAATGCGGAAAAAAGAAGGGAAAATCATTAACACAAACCATTTCCATTGATGATAAGTATCATGACTCAAAATTGAATAAAAGGCTTTTTTTAACTCACAGAATGGCCTAGGTGACATCTAATTTAACTCAACAGTTTGTATACAGAAATTAATTAGAAAAGATTGTTGCAGTGTCATTACTCTATTAGAAGTTGATTATCTGCTAACAACAGGAAAAGACAAAGACTCACTACCATCCCTATATCAGTTTCTCATTGCCATTCACCTCCACTATGTTGTCAACCGCAAGATTCATAAACTGATCAAACCAACGAAGTGTTCCAACAACTGTCCGGCTAGCATTTAGCTTGACTGCAGTACAAAATACCAGTTGATTTTTAATATTAAAAAGAAATTAATAATCTTCCAACAGATAGATGCTATCTACAAATGGCACTGACAAGCAAGTTGAATTATAATATTTTAAAAATAAATTACTAATCTTCCAACAGATGTCCATGCAATCTACAAATGACAGTTACAAGCAATAGATTGAATGTCTATCAATGCAACAAGTCTATGGAACATACCCCATAATTATTCTCATTTTTTGTTTATAATGGTTGTTTATGGGAGTGTATCACATTCAAGGTTTAACCTAATCACTTTAGACAGGCACAAGACAAATGTGGCAGTGCAGCTTACAATGATTACCAATAAAAGAATCTAAAAAGCATTTATTAAAAAGAAAGAAGGTAGAAAACAGAGAAACTGTAATAGAACAAAAACTATATAAGATTGAAGAAAAAGAAACTAGAAAAGCATAAATACTTTGAAAGAATCAAATGGAAATCCACAGAAGATATGCATCAAAGTTAACATAAATAGATATGCATAGGTAAATATACAACCATAGATCACTTAATAAGTAATAACGCATGAAAAAAGCAAACAATATTCTTTTAAAAAATGTCAATTTTTCAATCGAAGCCAAAAAAAAAAAAAAAATGATAAGGACATAGATGCCACATTTATAATAATTTTATTCTTGAGTCAGCAAAATGAGCAAACAAAGTGATTCAGTAGTATTGTTGGAACAAATGTAAAGTAATGCCCCCGCCATAGAAGAAAATTATCTTAGGTTTTTTCTTTACTCACTTCCCCATATTTAACAAATAACAAAGTTTAGTCGAGCGTTACTAAAAGTAACACAAAATAGTGCCCAAACTCAAGGACTAAAAAAGTCAGCCTGGTTCCATTAATTGCATCTTTCATTAATTTTACATAGCTTCAACTTATAGAAAATGTACATATGGAAGCTAAAAGCACAAGCCCCATAAATAAGAAAGTTGCTGAAAGTGGAAGGAATTGGGGAATGCTCCTTAGAAACCTAGATATTACGAAAAACAGAGATTTTTGGAATAAAACCAAAAAGAAAGGCAATCTTGATACTGTCTTAATGACTAAACTACCCACCAAAAATCCCATTTAGTACCGATGTTATTCCCCCAATAGCCAAACATTTTTGCACAATCCAAATTTCTATTTCTGGTAATTTCATATTTCAATCTAAAAAAAAACAATGATAATATATAAAATACACATAGAAAATTGAAATAGGAAATTTATGCAGAGTACATGAAATTAGAAAATCAAAACGGAAACTCTCATGGATGTACAATGGAATATCCAAGAAGTCTAAGAAATAGTTCAGTTCTATGGAACCCATAACAGGATCTCAAGAACAGTATAAATTGAATGGAGACAACATATCAGAAATGTTAATAGGATTTTATAATCTGACATCCATAGATAAACTGAACCAAACATTTGAGAAAGATTAATATAATCATAACATAATCCCAACAAGAAAACAATATAATAAATTTACCAAAAACCCAAATACTACCTGATTTAAACAACCACCATTACAACAAACTAAAAAATAACCCCAACGAGAAAAACACAATAATCAATTTACCAGAAACCCAAAAACACAATCATAACAGTGAACTAAACAAGAAATCTAAATCAACGATGAAATAAAACATAACAAATAAAATAGAGAGCCAGTGCAATTAACTAAGAGAATTTCATACCTCATCTTCAAAATGTATAATGATTTATTCATTTATTTTGAAAAGGAAACCCTAACCAAGAATAAAACTGATTCCTTCCATTTGGTGTAACCGGAAATATGGAACTCAAACTCTGGGTCTTGTAATGCACTTGTTAATGAAGAGCCGTTGGAGTCGATAATTGAAAAAGTAAAAGTTTTTAAAATAATAATAAATAAATAAAACTTCTGAATGAGTTGAAATGGCTTTCTGATTAGCATGGTGGTCTGAATCTGATGATGCTTCAAAAAGGGATAATTTGGTCTCTTTATTTTTTCTCTTTTGAAGACATTTAACATTAAGCCGTCAAGAAGACGAGCAGAACTTGAAAGGATAGTGGTAGATGAGAAAGTGCAAGAGATGGACTCTTATTTTGGGTTGGGCTTAGGACGATTCAACTTTCTTCTATATGGGATTGTTAGGCTTGGGCCATTCTTAGATGGGCTTGAAGAGTCATTGGCCTGGGTTGAAATAGCCTCAAATAAGTGGTGATCTCGGTGAGTCAATGGTCCGGGTCGGGCTCGATGATGTTGCTAGTGGGTTCGTTTTATTGTTCGATTTGACAAGATATTGAAAAAGCGTAAAAGCTTTTATTATTTCAAATGAGTATTATATATAAAAGAGCTGCTAAAGCTTTTGGCTTTTCGCAATTCTTTTGGGCGAGATGGTCATTAAAAAATTCAATATGTGATACCACATACTAGGAAAAAAAACTCACCTTAAATGATGAAGACTTCTTTTTTACTTGCTTGAACATTGTTACGCGTAATATGGACGTGTTATTTCTCACCGATATATTTAAGGACTTTAAGTTTTGGTGTGAATTTGGCCATCCTCGACAATCTACCATTTGTCACACTTAGCAAACGAAAAAACAGTGTGGAAAAAAGAAGGGAAATTCATTAACTCATAAAAGGCTTTTTAACTCATAGAATGTCCTAAGTGACATCTGATTTAAGTCACAGTTTATATACAAAAATTAATTAGAAAAGACTGTTGCAATGTCATTACTTTATTCGTAGTTGATTATCTACTAGCAGCAGGAAAAGACAGAGACTCACTACCATCCTATATCAGTTTTCTTAATGACATTCACCTCCACTGTGTTGTCAACCACAAGATTCATAAACTGATCAACCAATGAACTGTTCCAACAACTATCTGGTTAACCTTCAGCTTGATTGCAATACAAAATACCAATTAATTTTTAATATTAAAAAAATTAATAATCTTCTAACAGATGTAGATGTTATCTGCAAATGGCATTGACAAGCAAGTTATATTATAATATTTTAAAAATAAAATACTAATCTTCCAACATATATGTATGCTATCTACAAATGACACTGACAAGCAACATATTGACTGTCCATAAATGCAACAAGTCTTTATAACATACCTCAGAATTATTCTATATTTTGTTTATAATGTGTTTATGTGAGTGTATCACATTCAGGGTTTAACCTGATCGCTTTAGACAAGCACAAGACCAATGTGGCAGTGCAACTTACAATGATTACCAATAAATGATCTAAAAAGCATTTATTAAAAAAAAAAAAAAAACAAAGAAACTGTATTACAACAAAAAACTATACAAGATTGAAGAACAAGAAACTAAAGAGCATTAAATAATGTGAATGAATCAAATGGAAATCCACCAAAGTCAATAGATATGCATAGGCAAGCATACAACCATAGATCACTTAATACGTAATAATGCATGACAGCATTAGATAGAAATTTTTTAAAACATGTCGCTTTGTCAATCCAAGCAAAATACTATGTCATAAGGACATAGATGACACATTGATAATAATTTAATCATCGTGTAGACTTTACTAGCTTTGATATTGGATCTCACTATTGAGGAGCAGAAGATATCCACAATAAAGAAAGATACATCATTTATGAAATAGAGACAGCAAAATGAGCAAACAAAGTGACTCGGTAATATTGTTGGAACAAATGTAAAGTAATGCCCCAACCATAAAAGAAAATTATCTTGGGTTTTTTCTTTATTGACTTCCCCGAAATTTTCAAATAAAAAAGTTTAGTTGACAGTTACTTTTAGTTAGGGGTGGAACAAATAGGCCGGGTTAGGCGGGTCAACCCTAACCCGGCCCACATCAAGAGAGGTTCAACCCAGACCGCCTAAAAGGCAAGCTGGGTTCAACCCGACCAACATATACCCCATCGGCAGGCTGGGCTTTCATAGGTCAACCCAGCGGATTATATTTTTTTTCAAAACAAAAAAAAAAAAAACCTCCAATACGCCAGGTTGACCCACAAGTTGGCAACCGCCAACCTGATGGGTTGGACGAAAAAAATTAATTTTTTTTTTTTCAAATACCCCTTTTAATATAGTCATTTTATAGCCGTTAGAGGGGTATTTTTTGTCATTTTATTTCCCCCTTTTTTTTTTTTTTTTTCTATAAATAGGCATAAACTCTCATATTTTCTCACATCCCAAATTCTCTCATTTTCTCAAATCTCTATTGAAATCTCTCAATTTTTCTTTTTGTTGTCAATTTGCTCTCATTTTAATTTTTATTAGTTTTTGCAATTTTCAATTCATATTTTCAAATTCCAATTCTCCTTCTTTAATTTTTTATTTCTTCTGTATCCAATTTTTTTTTTTTTTTAAATACAATGGATAAATATTTCCATCCCATCAATTTCGATGATGAAAGAAACTATCCTAGTCCCCCTGAATTTACTAACATAAACGCAGTAGATTCAAATAGTCATGCTTTCCCATTCTCAGAATCCGATACACCTTATAATATTCCCTCCTTTCTCCCCATGCTGCTACAGCTCCCAGTGGCTCTAGAAGTCATCATTGTAATCGTCATCCTCGTCCAATTTTATCTCAAGCAGAAGCAAGTTCATCAACTGCTGTCGAAACCAACGACAAGCACACATCAGACGTTTGGGTACATTTCGATAAGTTTTACGACACAGAAAATGGAGTTCAAGTGAAGAAAGCAAGATGCAAGTATTATGAAAATATTTATAAAGCTAATGCAGGTAATAGTACTAGTACTTTAAAAAGGCATGCTAATAAACATATTATTCAATGTGAAAATAGAGAAATCAATCAAACTCATATAACTAATATAGGTACTACTTAGCGTTATAATTCTGATGTATATAGGGAACAATTAGTTTTATATATTGTTGCAATTGATCAACCTTTTAATATGGCTGAAGATAAATATTTTGAAAGATTTATTAAAAATTCATTTTTTCAAGGATTTAAAAGTTATTCTAAAACTACAACTAGAAATGATTTAATAAATTGTTTGGGAAAATGAAATTAGAATTAAAAAAATAAAATACATAAACACAAATCATAAGAATTCAACACTTTAAAAATTAAAACTCATTTCTTAGTGCAAGGATCTTACCTAAGAATGCTTAAGATTGAAATTTCACTAAAAATAACCCAAAATCAATGAGTTTCCTTTGAAAAAGAATCGAAAAAATTGAGAGAATTTGAAAATAAAGGTGGCATGAAAGAGGAGAAGAAATGGCTAGGGTTTCATTCTTCAACTCTTAATATATATATATATATATATATATATATATATATATATATCCCATTTTACCCTTGCACTTTCTATAAAATTTCATTTTTTCCCTTTAGTCAATTACAATAATGCCCTCGTCTCCATTGCATTCTCCATGAAATTCGACTACTTTTCACTCCCCACATTTTCAACTAATTATGATTGAAAAGACTATTTTACCCCTAATGACAACTTAAAGGATTTTCTTCACATTTTTTCAAGATAACTTTAACAAAATTCAACTAAGGGTATAAGTAAAGCTACTTACCTTGATGTGGACGTTACAATTCTCCCCCCTTTACAAGAATTTTGTCCTTGAAATTCAAACGAACAACTCAAGATGGCGGTTCCACATATCTTGCTCTAACTCCCATGTTGCTTCTTCTACCTTATGATTCCTCCATATGACTTTTACGAGTGTAATACTTTTGTTTCGGAGCTCTTTAATCTTTCTGTCTAAGATCTATACTTGGTGCTCCTCATAAACGAGATTCTTATGATTTGTGTGGCTCTAACCACCAATATTTGGATTGGTAGAGCTAAACAAGATTATATTTGTGTGACTAGTCATTATTTTAATAACGAATGTAAATTAAATAAATCTTTATGGGATTTAGATTAATGGATGTGGATCATGGTGGTTAACAAATTTACAATAAAATTGTTAAAGTTTTAAAAGATTATGATGTTGTTCATAAAGTGATAAGTTTAACTTTGAATAATATAAGTGCTAATAGTATAACTATAGATTTTTTTTTAAATTAATTTTCCTTTTTATGATAATTTGAAATTTTTTCACCAACACTGTGCATATCACATTATTAATTTAATTGTGAAAAGTGGTATTAAAAAAATTAGAAATAATATTGATAGAATTAGGGATTCTTTAGCTTGGATTACTAGTAGTAATAGAAGAAATACTGAATTTCAAGATGCTTGTATAAAATCAAATATGTCTCCTAGAACTTTTGCATTAGACATGTCTGTTAGATGGAATAGTACTTATTTATTACTTGATTCATGTTTACCTTATGCAAATTTAATTAGTTATTTTGTAGCAAATAATAGAAGTCCTCATTATTTGATAGAAAATTATTGGCATATAGTTAAAAAAAATTCATTCTTTTCTTAAAATCTTTAACCAATCCACTTTACAACTTTCTAGTTTGTATTATCCTACTAATCGATTAGTAATACATACAATTATAAAAAATTCAGATTTATTTAGAAAAAATAGACACAATGAAATTTTAGCGAGACCAATAGAGGCAATGAAATTAAAATTTAAAAAATATTAGAAACTCATTCATTTTCTTTATTATTTAGCTGGTATATTTGATCCTAGAATTAAATTAGCACGTTTAGAAAATGGTTTAGACACATTAACTAAAAATCTACAAGACGAAGCATATGTCAATCAACTAGGAGAGGTAAGAGAGTATCTTGCAAAGGTATATTTACACTATAAAAACATGTATGGGAACCAGTAAAGAGGCGAAATACCGAGGAAGTAGCATCAGAAGAAACAAATAAAGACTTCGACTACTAGAGTGCACTTAATAGGCTGAAGAGGACTCAAACCCCAAGCACAGCCTCCTCTTCAGAAGCATCAACAATGAATGTACTGTCCTTCATGCAGCTGCATAGTAATAAGCCTCACCAATATTTGGAAACCCTCAACGTGTTACCAGCAGATTCACAACAAAGAGCCAACTTTGATATCTTAGAATATTGGAAACCAGAAAATGTATTTTTCTAGTATTACCAAGACTTGCCCTGGATGTTTTCTCTATTCCTCTCTCAACCGTGTCATCCGAACAAACATTTAGTGCAAATGGAAGAATTTTAAATGAAATGAGGACTAAACTTTCACAAAAAATGATTGAAGTCCTCACATGTCTTCAAGATTGAGAACGGTCGTGCCATCAGGATTAATACAAGGTAGTCAACGATACTTTAATAGAATTATTTCAATTTTGTAATATAGATTATATGGATGAGAAGGTCCTAGTCAACCCCCAAATTAGTTGTTTTGAAAATTGTAAATTAATTATCAATTATTGCATTCTTTTTTCCTTACCAAGTTTTTGTTAACAATTGGTTTTTTTTTTTTTTTTGGTAAGGTTTTTAACGAGGTAATAATTGTTATAATTTCTTATTTTTTTTTTTTTTGATAATGAATAAATCTAATTTTTCTTATATTACAATTTCGTAGTATTAAATTTGAATTAATATTTGAAATGTTAACAAAAAAAAGAATAATTTAATTGAATTATTGATATTTGAAAAGTTAACTAAAAACAATTACACAAAGAAAAAAAATTAAGAAACAAAAAATTAAAAATTAAAAAAATTATGGGCTAGCCCGGCTCGACCTCACAAAAAACCCGCCCCTTAGGGGTGGCAGTAGAGATGGAATGGGCGATATTTTCGGGTACCCGGCCCAGCCCGGCCAAAAAGAGCAGGCTTTACCCGAGGTCGGCGGGTGGGCTTGGGCCTGGGCTTGATTTAAGGCCCGACTCGGGTATGGGCTGGCATGAGTATACTTTAGGCCCGGCCCGTCCCGAAAATTTTAGTATAATTTTATTAATTTACCCTTATACTATATATTTAATTACAATAATATCTACCACACCCACACACATATATATATATCCATTTTCCCAAATCCTAAGCTCAATTTTCAACCATATTGAAGGTTTAACATTTTAAAATTGCCTTTAAATAAGTTAGATGGGTTTGGTTCAACTTATAAAAGTGGATTTCACCATAACATATTATGCACAGCGAAAAGTTAGCATAATCAAATATTATGGAGTTTTAATTGCTCACTTATTGTTTAAATTATTTGCAGAAATAGCTTCAATTAATATTTAAAAACTATTTTAAAATTAAAAATATAAAAAAAATTGAAATTATTATATTTAAAAATAACATTATTAAAAAGGGCGGGATTAGGCCGGGCCTAGGTTATAAAAAACCGTGGACCGGGCTTGGGCTTTGCCTATCATAACCGTAGCGGACTCAGACCAGGCTTGGGCTTGTGTCATGAGGTCGGGTTGGGCCTGGGCCAAGGGGTACGCGATCCGGCCGGCCCATTGCCATCATAGTTGGCAGGGTGGCCAGCCTTTTGGCCAAGAGGCGGGCTGGTTTTCCATAACCACAGGGGGTCGTTTGGGGGGGGGGGGGGGGGGGGGGGGAGAGTGTGGGTGTGGGGTGGTTATTTTTCCACATTACTTTTAGTAACACAAAGCAGTGCCCAAACTCAAGGATTAAAACAGTCAGCCTAGTTCCATTAATTGCATTTTTCATTAATGTTAAATGGCGTCAGCTTATAGAAAATGTTCATATAGTATATGGAAGGTAAAGCACAAGCCCCATAAATGAGAGAGTTACTGAAACTCGAAGGAATTGGGGAATGCTCCCTGGAAACATGGATATTAGAAAAAACAGAGATTTTTGGAATAATACCAAAAAGAAAGCTAATCTTGGTATTATCTTAATGACTAACCTACCCACCAAAATCCCATTTAGTTGCCAATGTTGTACCCCTAATAACCAAACATTTTTGCACAATCCAAATTTATATTTCTAGTAAATTCATATCTCAGACAAGAAAAAGAACAATGATAGGACGATAATGTTAATAAAAAAGTTTATGCTTTGTTCGTTTGATTATAAAGTACACATAGCAAATTGAAATAGAAAATTTATGCAGAGTATATGAAATTATGAAATTACATTATAGGACAGCTCGTTTCTTGGTAGGGACCCGTCAACTTGTCTTCATTAAGTAATTCTATTATCTCATTACAGGGTGCTCCTGAAACTATCCAGGGTAGACTCACAGATTTGCCACCATCGTATATCGAAACCTACAAGAAATATACACGTCAGGGGTCTCGTGTCCTGGCCCTTGCTTTTAAGTCCCTTCCAGACATGACAGTAAGTTTACTCTGGATGTAATTTTCCTTGATGACATATATCTAGTCTCTCTAAAATTCTTGTACCTTTTATGAGCTTTTTGATTGGCAATTATAATTCATTTCCACATGTTATTGTACTTGTGAGCACTTAGATCTCCTTGATGACATATATCTAGTCTCTCTAAAATTCTTGTACCTTTTATGAGCTTTTTGATTGGCAATTATAATTGATTTCCACATGTTATTGTACTTGTGACACTTAGATCGCCTTGATGACATATATCTAGTCTGTCTAAAATTCTTGTGCCTTTTATGAGCATTTTGATTGGCAATTATAATTCATTTGCACATGTTGTGAGAATATAATCATATGGTTTTACATGTAATTTTGGTGCTAATGGGACCCCAGCAAACTCAATCAAAATACACACATAGCACACCCAACAATCAAAGAACAAACGTGATAAACAAAATGTATATTGATTCAAAAGTAGAACAAGTTCTGGTGAGCCTCAATCAGACCCAACCAAAAGCGAAAACAAAGAAGGGATAGTCCCAGCAATTCAAGAAGCTAGGGCCTCCATTGACAATCTTTGAGAAAAATAATCTCATATTCCTGATTCTATCTGCCTTAATATACTAGTGACATTTTCCCATATTCTCTCCACACACAATCGTGCCACATGCATTTCCTCTAACTGTATCCCACTGGCATAACAAACTTTTAGTAACAACCATTAGTGTTTATTCACACTCTTCACACCCTCCTGCCCTTTTGTGCCCCCTTGTATTGATAAACCTTAGTAATAGAGGGCCTATCAGGTGCAAACATTGTTGCTTGCACTGTGTTACAGGTACTTCGTAGGCAAGTTATCAAGTGATACTTTCGTAAAATTGAAATTCCACAATTGATTTACCTGATTAGCTTTTATGTGAAATATTAAAAGAAAATGGATATTTGGTTTTTGGGAGTCTGAACAAATGTTATTGCCAGACACTATAGTCCATTGAGGCCCATATTAGAAAAATAGGACTTGGCCGTAGTGACTCTTAGCCTTGTGAGAGCCTTGTCTGAGTCTCCTTTTTTAACTTCTGCTTTTGATTATGTGTTTTCTTCCTGGGCATTGACTAGTACCCACGTTATTTTATCTGTATATATACACACACATTAGGATTTTGTCCCCTGGTTTATATGCTTGTCTATTTATGCTTTGATCGAAAGGCTTGGTGATTTCCAACAAAATGAACAAGTTGTTGACAAATTAATGACTAACCCAAGGGAACAGAGACCTATACAAGTACTAACACTGTCCAAAGTTAGAAGCACGAAAAAGGAAAGCTGAGTAGCTGACCATAACACCCAGTTCACACTAGAACTCACTCCCAACTTAGGTATATGAAGAGAATTGCAGTATCATGATATTCTCTTTAGCTGGGAAGCCAGAAACTAAAAATTCTATTCCAAAAAAGAACGATGTCTCTATTGCTTCAAGCGTAAATCTGCATGCTTCTCACTCATCGCAAATCATCCAAAAATACCCATAATGTTTGCTAGCTGTATTAATATGTACCATAAACCATGTGAAGTGGGACAAACGAGGAGCAAATGGCTGCCATACTGCTGCTCTTTCTTTCCATTATTGTTATTATTATTTTTTTTTTTGGGTATGGATGCTAACAAATTATGAAGAAATTTGACTCTTTGTTTCTCAAATTTCTCCGCTTTTAAAGAGATCTTAGAAATGGCTTTTTGCTGATGTTGTTGCTTTTCATGTTCCATCTGCATTACATTTCCATAGGCATATAACTATTTGTAGTTATTTATTGACAATAGGCTTTAAATTATTGTTAGTTACTCAATGGTTGTTTCAATTAAGTTGAAATTCGCAAATATCTTCTGGACTCAGGAGCTCTTGTGGCCCATTCTACTCTTTGTTCTATCCTCTATTATGTTTGCTAGGACATTTAATTATAGTTTATTTAGATAACACAAATTCAGTACTTCAATATTTTCTGTCAATTTATCGACCTATTTTACTAGTTCTATGCTGAAGAGTTTTCTTTTATATGTCAAATACGTGAAGGTTAGCGAAGCAAGAAGCTTGGATAGAGATTTTGTGGAGAGTGGCCTTACTTTTGCTGGTTTTGCGGTAATTAGCGCAAACTTTTATTTCTTGTGATTTGCTTATATATTTTTTATTATTCCCTTTTTCTTGGATATTTCTACCAGATTCTTTAATGAATGCATACATTGATTATTCTACCAGTTTTTTTAATGAATGCATACATTGATTATTCACTGTTTCTTGGATATTTCAACCAGATTCTTTAATGAATGCATATTTTGATTATTCACTTTTTCTTGGATATTACAACCAGATTCTTTAATGAATGCTTGTTACTACTACATTTTCTTATTTTGTTCTGTAAATGCTGGTACTATAAGTTTCAGGTATTTAATTGCCCTATTAGAGCAGATTCGGCCACCATTTTGTCTGAATTAAAGAATTCGTCCCATGACTTGGTGAGTAACATGCTCGTGTATATTGTTTGCGATTATTTATATTAGAAAGTTGTGAACATTGAATCTGGAGTTGTGACTCCTAGTTTGTGCAATATTGCCTGCTGAAGATTTAATTTTTTAATGATAGGCGATGATCACTGGTGACCAAGCATTGACAGCTTGCTATGTTGCTAGCCAAGTACATATTGTTTCAAGGCCAGCACTAATTCTTAGTCCCTCGAAGAATGGTAGAGGATATGAATGGATATCGCCTGATGAAACAGAGATCATTCCATACAGGTGAAGTTTCACCTGTTGTTATTTACCTTATCTGTCAATTTGTTGAGATCACCCTTTAATCTTTTACTAGTTTTTAATGGCAACGAACACACACATTTTACCAAAAGAAAAAGCCTTGGGACTTAGAATTGTGTAACTTGCTTTATCCTCAAATAGTTGAGTCAATACGCGTTTACATTTTTCTATAGAGTTTCTTATTGAGCTGAAACAAGGAACATTGATATAATGAACTTTTTTTTTTTTTTTAAATTTAATTTAAAACCTCTTTATATTAAAGTATAATTGAAAAAGCTTTCCTTTATCAACTAAGGAAAGTGGGAATGTACTTGATTTGTTTGCAGTGAGAAAGAGGTTGAAGCTTTATCAGAGACTCATGATCTCTGTATTGGAGGTGACTGCATTGAAATGTTACAACAAACTTCTGCTGCTCTACGAGTCATTCCTTACGTGAAGGTTTTATAACGATACTATCTGTTTCAATGTAGTTATGATGATAGCTTCATCTGGATAATATGTATGCTATATTTGTACAGGTTTTTGCGAGAGTTGCTCCTAAGCAAAAAGAACTAATCATGACTACTTTTAAAACGGTGGGAAGGATCACATTGATGTGTGTGGATGGTACTAATGATGTTGGAGCTCTGAAGCAGGTAATGTGGTTTTGAAGATTATTTATGTCTGTTAGTGTCTGTATTTGTCAATCCTGATAAGTGCAGTGCTTTGAGTGTTGTATGTAAGTTTATTGGTCTATCTTTTGAAATGTCATGGATTTATAGAGTTACCGGAATCAAAGTCCAAAGATAAATTTTGCTTTTCCTTCCTAATGTAGTAGAATATCACTTCATTGCCAGCTAGATTTTAACCCGATCTTCAGCATAATCTCACAGGAGTATTTATTTAATCCGGTGTACCAAGTGTTAATCTGAATTCAATGGCATCAGCTGGGGTAAGGTGAAATATTTTTGCACCATTCTGCTCTACCGGGAGCAATATTTTCTTTAGTTCAGTGTTGTCTTGTGGTACATGCGGCCTTGCCTTGTTCTGTGAACATTGGAGTCTCATTTTTAAGTCAGCGATGACTCTTCTCTTGGCCAATCTGTAAATTATAGCTGCTAATTTACCCAGGCCCATCATGCCCCCCTCCCCTCCTCTCCCCTCTCCAATGTTCTGTATTTATTTGAATCAGCCTTGTTTAGGGCTAGGACCAGTAAGCATGTTATTACATTTTTTTTTTCCTCCATACTATAAAGAAGACATGATGGAATAATACCCAGGGAGGATCTTTCTCTCTGATTGGTTCTGCTGAAATTAAAATGGAACTCGTCAATATTGTAGTGCAAGGCACACTTCCTCGGGTTGTTTCCGGGCACGATGATCAGAGATTTGTGTTGTTGACTTTTTGCTTTGCTGTAATAAGAGATATCAGCAGTAGACATCTAATACTTTCTTTGTAAGGCACACATAGGGGTTGCTTTGTTGAATGCTGTGCCTCCAACTGAAGACAAAGCCTCATCATCAGAAACATCTAAAGATGAAAACACAAAGTCAGGTAAATCAAAGAAATCTAAGGCTGCATCAGAAGCTGCTAGCCGACCTATCAGTCAGAATGGAGAAGGCTCTTCTACCGGCCACACCGCTGGTAAACACCATCAGGTGGCTGTTGAGATGCAACGACAGAAGCTGAAGAAGCTGATGGATGAGATGAATGAGGAGGGTGATGGTCGTGCTGCTCCGATTGTCAAGCTTGGGGATGCCTCTATGGCGTCACCATTTACAGCAAAGCATACATCAGTTGCTCCAACAACAGACATAATTTGTCAGGGACGTAGTACTCTTGTGACAACCCTTCAGATGTTCAAAATACTCGGACTAAATTGCCTTGCCACAGCATATGTGTTGAGTGTTATGTATTTGGATGGTGTCAAGCTCGGTGATGTCCAGGCTACAATCAGCGGTGTCTTTACAGCTGCTTTTTTCCTATTCATATCACATGCCCGCCCTCTTCCTACTCTGTCAACTGCACGGCCCCATCCTAATATTTTCTGCCTATATGTCTTCCTTTCTCTCATGGGACAGTTTGCAATTCACTTGCTTTTCCTGATGTCTTCTGTGAAAGAGGTAGAAAAGTACATGCCGGATGAATGCATTGAACCAGACTCAGATTTTCATCCCAATCTCATGAATACAGTTTCATATATGGTGAGCATGATGCTCCAGGTGGCCACTTTTGCTGTAAACTACATGGGCCGTCCTTTCAACCAGAGCATCTCCGAAAACAAACCATTTTTGTATGCTCTGATAGCTTCCGTTGGTTTCTTCACAATCATTACATCTGATCTATTTAGGGACTTAAATGACTGGTTGAAGTTGGTGCCTTTGCCATGGGGATTAAGGGATAAACTTTTGATTTGGGCTTCTCTCATGTTTTTGAGCTGTTATTCATGGGAGAAATTTTTGAGGTGGGCATTCCCAGGTAGAGTTCCAGAGTGGAAGAAACGACAACGTGTGGTTGCAGCTAATTCGGATAAGAAGCATGTTTGAACCACCAGAACCTTATATGTGGCATTTTCGGGCGTGTCGAGCCCTTTGGTAAAGGCCATGATAATTGGTGTTGATGTTGTGAGTAACGCGACGCCGCTAGAGTACTACAAAGGATATATGGCTTCAGTAACTTGGGTTACTTATCAGTTACCTGATTAATTACTGGGTTCTGCCCCTTCATTTAGTTGCAATTTTTGCTAATTCTAAATTTTGCTGTTGAAGAGGTGGGAAATCTTCTAGGAATTTCGGCTTCTAAATCTGGTGATTTTAAGTTTTTTTAGCACAGGAAAAGTTAATGGTTGACATTCGAAACTACTGTAAATCCCAGAATTAGTAAAAATATTAATACATTTCTAAAGTTGTCGATATCTAGGGCTGCTTTGATTCTTTTGGTTTTGAGATCGTTACTTCAGTGAAAAGAAGAACACTGGTTCGCCGTTGATACAAGAAAATGAATGGATTCTATTACTGGTTAGCATCTTTCACTTGGTCCAATTTTAGTTTTTTTTTTTTTTCTTTTTATAAATCAGTATTTTAAACTTTTATGAGATAGGTCTGACATAAAAACTTGTTATTCATTTATGAGAGCCATCAGTCGATTTTTTTTTTTTTTTTTTTTAAATATAATCATAAAATTCGTCAAAACTTAAATAAAGCTTGAGTGATGAGTTTTTCTCTTTGGACACTTGAAAAAGTAACATCCATTAATTTTTTAGAGTCCTTGCTCTGGACATATATGCATTCTACGTGTGTACATGAAGTCATGAACATGATGGTCGTAAAATCATATATGGCAAAATAGTCCTAGAGGAGGGGTGCATAGGATGCTTTCAAAATATTCGCGGAAATAAACTGTCGCCAACCTAATCAAGTTGAATACGCTTAACACTAACAAATCTATGTAATAAGTGTGTATGATGCTAAACAATGAATGAGAGTGATTCAAACAACATGAGTAATCAATAATAAATGAGAGTGATTTAAACAATATTGGTAATCAATAATAAGCAATAAATGAGAGATACATACGTGAATGTGAGCAATAAATATGTGTATGAAAATAATGTTTCAAGTAAATGAGTTGAGAGAAAAGAAATGCTCAGAGATTTATAGTGGTTCGAAGCCCTATCTATAAACTTTCTATATCCAATTCTTCAAGGCAAACTACTTTGAAAGTTTCATTAGAATCGGATTTCTCCTTTATATTAGTTTTTACAGGATTTCGCTTCTAACTTTATAAGATTTTGCCCACAAAGTGTTGGATAAGAAGTTTGCGAAAAATTCTTTTAACTTAGACTTGAACACACGATAAAAATAATATTCACAAAGGTTTACAAATAAGTACAAGAAGCTAATCTTTTGATTTGGATTTTAATCTCAAAGGGATTATATGAGAATGTTTTGATATGACAACTCTTAGTAGAGCCATCTGTAATCGGTTCATGATACTCCATCAAAATCTTCTCTCTATGTGGACGCTCTGCAGCAACACTGACCCAACTTCCTTTTCATTCCTAGGAACCCCTAGAAGATTTACGAACCATCTAAGGAGCAATCTGTCCTTGGGCATTATGCGAGGGTTTAGCCGGGTTGGAAACCCGACCCACACCATTAGGGCTACCAGTAAACTGCCCAGATCCAGGAGAACTAATCTTCCTAGCAATCGGTCCAGTTGGTTGAGAGGAGCCGAACCGTTGCCCAATAGTCAAAGATTTGCAAACAATAGAAGTATCACTCATCATAACATCATTCAACTTGAGCCCAGATCTAGAACAAACACCACCTTGGTCAATGGTCAGCAAACAACTCCGGCCCAGAAGTATAGTTAAGGCACAGCCAATAATTAGGATCTTAGCGAATAACGATAGCTCGAAAATTGTTTTCTCAAAGTTTCTGGGTGGGACAATGTAATTACAACAAACCTTGGGCGGGGAATTGTTATTCACTCTTTATAAAATGGCAGGGCTGTACACTTGTGCTTCGTAGCACTTAAGGTAACACTACAAAACAATGGCGGTTCGCTCTATACTCAGCTTCAGCTTTCGTAGTCTTGGCATTGGCAGTTTGGATTGAAGGAGTTTAGGGAATGCAGATTAAAGTTGAGTAAGTTAAGTTCATTATGTTTCGTTTTCTTTGTAGAACAACAAGAAAAGTATTTGCTGAGAAGGATTTAGCTCTGAATCTCACAACTAGTCAAGTGGGTTTTTCACAAAATAAGATTTTCCCCCTTAGGTTGCTTTCATCATCTTCGCATTTAGAGAAGGGATCGTTAGAAACTAAACAAAGTGAACAGAAAGAGTCTTTGACAGTTTCATACTTGACAAACTCATGTGGGTTGTCTTTAAAATCTGCTGTTTCTGCTTCCAAGTTTATTCAGTTGAAGAACACTGAAAGAGCGGACTCAGTCCTTAGATTTCTCAGCGACCATGGTTTCACCAAAACCCAGATCTCTAAAGTTGTGAGAGGGTTCCCACTAGTCATTTCAATTGATCCTGCAAAGACACTTTCGCCCAAGATCGAGTTTTTCCGTTCAATAGGGCTTTCAAGGAATGAGCTAGCGGATGTCATAGCTAGGAGTCCAAAATTGCTATCTAGCAGTTTAAAGAATCATCTTATCCCCAATTACAATTTCCTCAAGAATGTTGTTATTCATGACGAAAAAATTGTCAAAGTTTTGAAGCGCATGCTATGGCTATTTTCGCTGGACTTAAGGGGTAAAAATTTTGGTCCAAATATAGCTCTTCTGAAAGATATTGGCGTGCCTCAATCTCGAATTTCTTTTTTGGTGACTCATATCCCAGGCGCAGCATGTTCCAAACATTCTAAATTTTGCAAGGTTGTCAATAAGGTTAAGGAAATGGGATTTAATCCCACCCAAACTGTGTTTGTTATGGCAGTTGGAGCAATCAACCAATTGAAGGAATCAGTTTGGGAATCTAAGTTAGAGGTTTATAGGAGGTGGGGTTGGTCTGAGGATGAGATTCTTGCTGCTTTTAGAAGGCATCCACATTGTATGCAATTATCTGAGAAGAAGATTACAAGAGCTATGGACTTACTTGTAAACAAAATGGGTTGGCTGTCGCGAGATATTTCCAAAATGCCAATAATTCTCAATTACAGCTTGGAGAAGAGGATTGCTCCCAGGTGTTTGGTTATTCAGGTTCTGCTCTCCAAAGGATTAATCAAAGAAAATATATGTCCATCCACTTACTTATGTCTTGTGCAGAGCAAATTTATTAAGAGGTATGTAATCAAATTTCAAGAAGTTCCTGAATTATTAGATGTATATCAGGGCGAAATCGATCTTTTGGATGCCGCCTCTGGATTTCAGAGGCATGTGAAATGAAACAGGTTTAACTCTTGAAATGTTTTCATTATAATTTTTTTTGTTTTTTGTGGTAGTTGCTAATTTAAGCTATTTTTGATTCACCAAGTGTTGGATGTGTAGTTCTTTACGCTAGGATGAATGTTTTGACATAACGTTCTTAAACATTAAGCTATGAAATTGTTGTAAATGATTAAACATGAATATCAAATTCTGAGTCCAAATGAAAATTGGAAATTAAACATTAAGCTATGAAAGTGTTGTAATTCAAGTTTGGTTATTCAAGAAGGAAGAACATGAACGAGATGGTGTAAGTTTTGGTGTGAATTTGGCCATCTCCGGCACCCAACCATCTGTCACACTTAGCAGACACAAAACCAGTGTGGACAAAAGAAGGAAAAATCATTAACTCAACCCATTTCCATTGATGATAAGTATCATGACTCAAAATTGAATAAAAGGCTTTTTAACTCAAAGAATGGCCCAGGTGACATCTGATTTAAATCAAAGTTTATATACAAAAATTAATTAGAAAAGACTGTTGCAATGTCATTACTCTATTGGAAGTTGATTATATGCTAAAAGCAAGAAAAGATAGAAACTCACTACCACTGTATTGTCATTGCCACAAGATTCATAAACTAATCAAACCAACGAAGTGTTCCAACAACCATCTGCTTAGCATTCAAACAGATATAGATGCTATCTACAAATGACACTGACAAGCAAGTTTAAATATAATATTTTGAAAATAAATTAATAATCTTCCAATAGATGTCCAAGCTATCTACAAATGACACTGACAACCAGCAGATTGAATGTCCATAAATGCAAGAAGTCTGTGGAGCATACCACAGAATTATTCTCATTTTTGTTTATAATGGCTGTTTATGGGAGTGTATCACACTCAAGGTTTAACCTGATCGCTTTAGATAAACACAAGACAAATGTGGCAGTGCAGTTTACAATGATCAACAATAAAAGAATCTAAAAAGCATTTATTAAGAAAAAAAGGTAGAAAACAAAGAAACTGTAATAGAACAAAAAAACTATACGAGATTGAAGAATAAGAAAACTAAAAGAATCAAATGGAAATCCATTGAAGCTATTAATCAAAGTTAACATCAATAGATATGCATAGGCAAATATACAACCATAGATCACTTAATAAGTAATAATTTTATCCTCTTACAGACTTTGATAGCTTCGGTATTGGATCTCACCATTAAAGTGTAGAAGTTCATTAACTGATATCCATCACAAAGAAAGATGGATCATTTATGAAAATTGAGTAAGCCAAATGAGGAAACAAAGTGATTCAGTAGTATTGCTGGAACAAATATAAAGTAATGCCTCAGCCGTAGAAGAAATTTTTCTTGGGTTTTTTCTGTACACACTACCCTGGATTTTTCAAATAACAAAGTTTAGTCGGCGCAACATAAAACAGTGTCCAAACTCAAGGACTGAAAAAGTTACTGGGTTGGTGGTTTGGAGTTTGTTCCTGGATAATGGTGAATGGGTTTTGTTTAATGTTGATGGTGGAGTGACAGTGGTACTTCTATGGTGGTCGGTGATGGGCGTTGGGTAGTGTGTAGTTGAAGACGATGGGGGAGATTGTACTTTTCTAATAATTAATTTTTAAAAAGAATAAAAAGGGGTAAAAATGGTATTTGATTGCAGTGCTAGTATCAGAATGCAAACAGCAGGGCGTTAGGAGTTATTTCTGAAACAACAGAGGGTTTATCTGTAAGTTACTTTTTACAAATTAAAATAAAAGTTAACTAAGAATTATATCTATTTCGTTGGATTTGGGATTTCATCATCTCATAGTATTAAGAAATTACACATCATCTTTGTGTAAAATATATATTGATACTTCATCATATAACTATATAATTTCTCTAAAAAAAAAAATTAAAAATATTTAAATTATAAAATCCTTAAAAACTTCTTAAATATTTCTAAATTTCTTGAACTTTTTTATACATTTTAAGAAATTATGAACATAAAGTTTTAAATTTTTCATTATTTTACTTTGTAATTTTGTATTCTTTTTACTATATAAAAATATCAGTTAAAAAATTTAAAATCTGTTTTGTTTTTTCATTTAAAAATGTCTATTTTGCTTTACTGCCGACAAATTGTTCATTTAAATGAAAATTTTTAACACAATATTGTAAACAAGAATTAAAAAAAAAATTGATATATTGAAGGCTAGTTTTTCAAGACAGACAAAATAAGAAGTATTTTGAATGGGTTTTATTGGTTAAGTAAGAGAAAAATTTCTTATTTTTCATTACTTTCTTAATGTTTTTAAACAACTATATTGGAAGTGTTTTCATTTTTTATATTCTCAAAAATTGTTTTCAGATAGACATGTAGAATGTGTTTTCTTTTTTGAATATTTCAATCATTTTTAGTATTTTCAAAAATACAAAAAACAAAAACACAAAATTCATAAAACAAAACACTCTAAACAATTTGTTTAGTTAATGGGAAATAGAAAGAAAGTAATGGGATCTGCTTGGTTACATGAAGCATGTTTGGTTAAAAAGAAAATGAAAATTTAAGATTTAATCGTATATAAATCGATGGGCTGAGATATCAAAATTTTCACATATATGGTGATTGAAGAACTTCTCCCAAAACTTGTGGGATTGGGATTCAAGGAAATTTTCCTTTTGAAATTTTCAACAAATTGAATTTCCAATTATGTCATTCAATTGTTAATAAGCTAATTTAATCATCAATTTTAATCAACACAAATGAAATTAAAAGATAAAACAACATTAGGAAGGAAAAACTTAAAATCGTGGAACTAAGACTTTAAAATCGAAGGTAAAAATCTTTTTTTTTTTTTTTTTTTTGGAAAAGTAAATAACATCTTTTTATAAAATTTCCATAAGATTTAAGAAGGTTTTGATGAAGTTTCATGGGGAGTGCATGGACTCTGTAGGCTAGTACAATGACATTGGCTTATGCTTGGAAATTTAATTACTAGAACAAGTTGACTTTGAAAAAGACTTGGAGTGGTCCTAAGGCTTTTAAAACTATACTAGTTGCATGCAATCTCCCATCTTTCTTCAACCAAAACCTTTTATTTTTCTCATTGTTTGATTTGTAAATTATTTCTACATAAATAACATCATCTGTAAATTTCATCATAAGATTGAAAGAAAGACTTTATTCATCCTAAGGTTAAATTTTAGTTGGAAATTTGAGATTTTGTATAATGTGAAAGAAATCTTCTTCTCATTCGTAAAATTCACAATTAAAATTATCATGTGAGATGAAATCGAGATAGATTTACTTCTACAAATTTGTAAATTAAACTTCGTGCATACTGTTTTCAGCTCAATTTGCTTATTCACAATAACATTTACATTAATTATATGACTAATTATATATAATACCTTTTCAACATTAGAATGGCGAATACTATACCCGATCTAAATACATTGATATTTGAGAAACAAAATAAAAAGAAAATTAAATGCATTTTCTTAGACATGTTTGATTCTGTGATCACCTAATGCGAATTCTAACACACCTTTTACTTCTTTTCTTCTGACTTTTGTATTTTAGTTCGAACTTTGGTTGTGGTTTACCCTCACTTGAGTTCTCACTTGAGTCCGATGAGTACTCCTCTGTGTCCTCTCTTGGCATCCCAGCTGTGTAATTGGATGATTTTACTTTTGATGGTGCGTAATTATTCTTGTCATGCAGGTTCATTCGATCCAATTTCTGGTTCGTTTCAGTAACCTCAGCTAAGATTCTCAAGATATCAAGCGATTGTGCAGCCTGGAACTCAACATTTAAAAGCTTATATAGAGATGAATCCAGTTGATTAAGCCTTTTTGCGTACCTGCACTTCTTCACCTTGTTCCACCGTGGGATGTCTGAGCAAGTAAAAACAAGTTGTCTTGCTTTCTTCAATGTCCCAAGTAATAAATGAATCTCCTCTCTTGAGTTGTCCATAAGCTCTTTATTAAACTTCTCCAGTTCAATGATCTTAGGAGTTAGTAATTTGAGAGTGCTTTCCAGTCTTTCTAGAATGGGTTTGAATTTCTTGGACTTAGCCTTGGTGTCTTTAATTAAACCACATAGCAGTTGAAATGCAACTCCGAGGGCAGCCCCTGCAACGAGATCTTCGATTCCTGACATTTGTGAAGGCAACCAAAAAAAAAAAAAAAAAAAAGTCTTTAAGCAACGAAACCTGGTACTCCTGCTAATTCATTCAAATATTAATTTGATTGATTGGCATAGAATTTCAATATGAAGGAAAAGGCTTCAAGAGGCAGCAATTTATAATAAGAGATTTGGCAATACCTTACCTATATACGACCCGGTCCAAGTTTTGGGGTGAATGTGATGACATTAATTAATTTTATTATCAAATGCTAATTATACTTGGTCATCCTGGAAGTGCTGGAATCATTCAAGCTTTGTTATGTTCTTTGGAAGTAATTAATTACGTCGAAATATTTTTTCACTCCAATTAATACACGTTATAAGAAGTTTTCCTTTAAACTATGATGATATAGGTAGCATCCAGCAAGACAGGAAAGAAAGCAAAGACGATCAAGTGCGATACACTATATTGTTAACAGCTAGAACACTATATTTTTCTTATTGTTTGATTTGCAAAGTATTTCTACATAAATAACATTGTTTGTAAATTTCATCATAAAAAAATGATCATTGAATTATTTTTATAAAAATATTATTGGTTAATTATTTTCAAGGATCACTTTATAGAGAGAAGAGGAGGCAATAGAGAATTCATGAAATGTGAAGAGAGGTGAGATATTCAAACATTTCGGGTGTCTTTTTGTATGGCAAGCTGGGGGTATAATACTATTTGTACAAAGACTCTGGACTTATTATGCGGATGGAGATGGAGATGGAGATGGAGAGACTTGGGCATTGACTCAACAATGTTAATAGGAAGATTCAAACAGAAGACTGTCACTTGTAATTGCAGTAATGATTGAAAATAAATGTTAATAAATCAATGGTGAAGACTATCTACGACAGTCATAGACAATCTATCATCTATCAACCTCTTATATCAATGTTAATAAATCAAAATCTTATATTTTTATTTGGAAAAGTATTTCTACATAAATACATCTTTTTATAAAATTTTCGTAAGATTTTAAGAAAGCTTTGGTGAAGTTTCATGGTGAGTGCATGGACTTTGTAGGCTAGTACAATGACATTGGCTTATGCTTGGAAATTTACTAAAAGAACAATATGGAAATTTACTAAAAGAACAAGTAGACATTGAAAAAGACTTGGAGTGGAATTATTGTGATGGTGGAGCCAAAGACTTCTAAAACTAAATTAGTTGCACACAATCTCCCATCTTTCTTCCAAAATCTCCTATTTTTCTCTATTGTTTGATTTGTAAAGTATTTCTACATAAATAAAATCGTTTGTAAATTTCATCGTAAGGTTGAAAGAAAGACTTTCATCAATCCTAAGGTTTAAATTTCGAACAGAGTTGAGATATTCAAACATTTAGGGTGTCTTATTCTATCACAAACCCCAAGGGGGTGGAGTGATGATACCATTTATACAAAGACCCGGACTTAATTAATATGCAGATGGAGACTTGGGCATTGACTCAACAATGTTAGTAGGAAAATTCAGGCTAAAGTTTTGATGAAGGTTTTGACTATTCAAATGACATTTATAATCATGTTTATAGTCTTAATTGAAACTTCTGATGAAGTTTCATGGTGATGTATGACAGATTTTATAGACTAGTTGATGCAACGTGGATAGGGATAAAATTAATATAATGCATACGATAAAAATAACTTAACTTCGTTGATTTTAGGAATATTCAGAAATTAAATAAACGTAAATGAGATTTTCGTTGATTCAAATGATAGTAATATCATAAATAATTGAAAATAATAATTTAAAAAAAAAAAAACAGCCTGACAGAATCAGCCAATAAGGACTTACAATAATAAAAATAAAAGAACTAATTTAAAATAATAAGTAGATATAAGATGTAATTTCGTAAATAAATAAGAGAAAATTACTTTAATCCCCTAATGTATATCTTAACTCATAAGCCTCTTGTGGTTTCGGAAATAGCTCCCAACCCTATGCTGTTTAGTATTTAATTTATGGTTAGTTTTAACAGTTAAAGGGTAAATAAGTAAATGATTAAAAATTTTATAATTAAAACCATTAAAAAAGATTTTTAATCCTGATCCCACGTCACTTTCCCCTTTTTTCGTCATCCTCACCGACACAACCTACTCCAAAAATATATTTTCTCTACCTCCAAAAATATATAGGAACTAGAAAATCAAACTCTAAGGATAACTGACTATCTTAACTTTACAATATATATATATATATATATATATATATATATTTTGTAAGAATAATAGACTCGGTTTAGAAACTAATTCATATAATCTAACGTGTTATAATCTGATAAAATGATTAAAAATTAAAAATAAGGTAATTTAAATAAATGAATTGCTACATTAGTTTGTATATCTAATTAATATTACTCTTTTTTAAATACACATATCATGTCTTGCATAAAATGGAACTTATATAAATAGGATTTACCTACAACAGCAACAATTATAGAAAAGGCCGAATGACATCCTCTCACCCAAAGTTTACCTTAAAGACAATTTCGTATCCAAAAAATTGAAAACGACCATTACTCAGCAACTGTTAATTTTGACCGTTAATTTGGTAAATTCAAGAATAGTGAAAGGGCAATTATTATATTATTTTACCTATATATATATAACCCTAACTCCTCCCTTCTTCAATTTGGCGGTGCACTTTAGCAAGCATTGCCACTGGCGTTTTGGTCATTTTTCCAGCCATTTTTCTACCCAAAACCACCTTTATTTACCCTCTTGGCCCTCTCTCACTGAAACCCAGCTATTCCGACACGAGTGCACCCATTAATCGCGAAAATTCGGCCATCGTTCTTCCTCGTGACTACCCATATTTGAGGCCGGATTCCGGTCGATATTCACACTGGAAATCCACCATTCCACCACCATTCAAATACCCATCAACCCCTCTTCAAAACCCAACCTTCCATCTACCACCCCCACTCGCCGTCTGTCGTCCAGCACACATTATTTGGCCACCCTCTAACTGTTTGTGGAAAGTCCCCAACCAACTCAGCAGGCTGCACTTTTTATTGATGATCTTGGGCTCATTTGGAGTTTGTAGTTGGAATTCTTGTTGTAGAAGTGTTGTTGCTTGTGTGTTGGCTTTTTCTTGGTCACCGGCACTCCTCAACACTGCCACCTTCAACGTTTTTCAGCACGCTGCAACCTGCTCGATAAAAGGTTGCAGTCAGTGACCTTCTTATTCAGCACACTTCCTTAAACGAATTTTACTAACAGTTCTTAACGGCGCCATTTCTTCAGGCTATTTTCATTCTTGAAAACGATTTTACTAACAATAGGGTGGAAAATTGTCTAACAAATCTTAGCGGTCAAGGGGTGATTGTCATTTTCAAACTTTTTGAGTATGAAATTGTCTTCAAGGCAAACTTTGGGTGGGAAAATGTTATTCGGCCTTATAGAAAATGATATATGAGCTAACACATAATATATTATACGAGTGATTATATATATTGCGTGCCTTAAGAGTTTGTGTTAAAATTTGAAAATATAAAATATTAATGTTATAAATTTATCCAAAAATACTTTTATTTTTCTTCCAATAAATAAAAAGAATAGTACTATTCAAAAATATTTTTTTTTTGTTTTGTTTTGTTTAAAGACTATTAAATTAGTATACCTGCAACTACAAACTTAAGCTTTTAGGTGAAATAACAACTTAACTGACTATTAAAGCTAAACGTCTGAAGTTCAAATCCCCACGTTCAACTCAAAAAAAAAAGAAAAAAGAAATAAATAATAAGTAAACGGATTGAGCTTATATACTTTAAAATCATAAAATTAAGATCAACAGGCAGCCTAAGCATACACAGTGAATCTTACCAAAAGAACATGACAATAATTATTTTCTCCTTTATAACAAAAGTTGGTGATCACTCTCATACATAATCTACATACATAATCTTCAGCTTAATAATGCTATGGGGATTAAAATGACAAACCAAATCCACCCAGTTTCTTTCCATTATTTGATCCAAATGATATGCCATTTCAAGTGTAAGATAATTTCTCCAATCTCCAACTCACCTTTGCTGAAGAACATTTTGTTCTCAACACTAACATAATTAGAAGATCCACTCTTATTCACCTCAAAATTGATCATACTTTTAAAACTACAAATTTGAACAATATCTTGAGTTTTTCCTTCTTTTTTCTTTTGCAAATGAAAAGGATATCCCATGAACTCAACCATTCTCTTAACATAAAATGGGTTTCCTTAATCACATCTTCATATTTTAGGAACAATACTTTCTTTGACTGTTCCAAGCTTTCTTCCCAATACCCTAATATACTTTATGAACAAAAAAACAAAAACTCGAGTAAACGACTTTTTCCCACCCAAATAATGGCTTAATGACACTTTCCTACCAACAAACTTTTAAAATATATACTACTTTACTACCCAAATAATAGCTTAATGACACATAATATCTTATATGAGTGATTATATATACTACATGCCTTAGGGGTTTGTGTTAAAATTTGAAAATATAACATATTATTGTTATAAATTTATCAAAAATTGCTTTTCTTTGTCATCCAATAAATGAAAATAACAATAATATTCAATTTTTTTTTCTTTTTGTTTAAAGACTATTAAATTAATACAGTATAATGTTAAGTCATCAACTACAAGCTTAAGCTTTCAGATAGAATGACAACTTAACAGATTGTAGACGGTAAAATCTATGCTTAAGTTGAGAAAGACTAATCCTGTATGAAGTGAGCCACTAACAATCAGTTGTACCTACACAAAGAGCAAAAAGGGAACGTGAAGGCTAGATAGACTCTGACATGGTGCCTACCGTAGACACTCCGACGCTTAAGTCAGCGAGACTGAAGGTATTTTAGTGAGGGCTAAGGGCGGGAAGGAATACTGGAATAATGTGGTGGATCTTGGGAGCAAGAACTTTGAGAGCTTAGGTGTTATAGGTGATTTCTGAATAAATATTGTGGAGGTTTGCCCCTGCTTATATAGTG